TACGTGATTAATATGTCGCTGATTTGAATAAAGAAGAAATGCTAAATAAAGCTAAAATATCAAGATATTCGAGTATTAAATAAGTCCAAGTATCCATTTTGTAAAAATGCTTCTAGCACAGAAATTGGAGTCATTATAGAGGTTCTTAGCAGTTTCTTCTTTAACTACTTACGCAGGCAACCCGTCCAGAATTTCGCAGCGGATTACTACTTTCTAAAATATTTTTATTAAAATTTTATACAAATTGTGGTCGCGTTATTACTCTTAGAGACGTTATTGTTAATCATCTTTTTAATATTCTGATCTTTATGTGACACCGTAAATTTCTTATAACATTACGTAAACACAAGTCACAATATGCGCGTAGCATATTGTTGTTTTTGTCTGGCACGGAGATGCGATCACATGCATAGCACGTTGTCTTAACGTAAGTGGTTAAGTTTTAATGTGAAGAAAATATAGTGAGTAATCATTTTACAATATAGTGTTATACCTCGAGATTCACTATTGGTCTTTCAAGTTCGAGGGAATTTGCAGGATTAATATAGGGCCATAATTTCGATTCAGATAGTGTGCCTTGCATAAACGGTAAGAGACCGATATTGATACGTTATTGGTGAGCTTTGACTTTCAACAAGAGAACTATGAGCGATTAATACTCCGCTATTTAATATTGCGAACAACTCGGGTAATTTAATGCCTGAATTATACGAAATAATTATTATCTGATTAGATCTCAAAAGAGAGGCCAGGTACTCGAATTATCCGGGTAAAATGAGAGAATATATTGCCCCTTAGACGCGTTAAGAGAGAAGATAAGGTAGAAGAAGCTTCTTGTTTCTGTTATAAGAACTGTTATATTCTGTTATATTCTGTTATACGAAATAGAAATAGAAAAAGTTCGCTTACCATGTCGAATGTATTTTTGCGCGCACTGTTTGTAAATTAGTAAATGCGAAAGAAGAACGAAGCTCACATCTTCTTTAGCTCATTGGTTACAAAGCTGATGAAAAGACTGTCCGCCGCAGACGCTGACTTCTCGAGTCACTTTGATTTAGACAATCTCGTTAGGTTGGCAGATTCGCTCGGGAATTAAAAAAAAAAGAGAGAAGAAAAGGAAAAAAGAGAAAAAGAAGCAGATATAAATAAGGTCTCCGCGTTGGTGAAACCGATCGAGTAAAAAGAGAAAAGTTAAGGGAGGAAGCTACCGCGGTGAATATTTCTAGTTGCCGTCTGAAGTACGTGCTTACCGGATACAACCTGCCTACCATTTCGAGCTCAAGGCATTTGTAAGTTGCGGCGTAAATTTGTTCAAAGCCGAACGATGTGAAACATCTCGCATTGGTTTGGAATCCGTTGATCGGGAAACGCGACTTGCCGACGAACTTTTCGTTTATATTGTTTCGCGGATGATTCGGTCGATGAATCCGCGAGGGAAAAATGTATAACGGCAAATAAGATTGTCATGTGGAGAATTTTCGTATTGATCCACGAGTAGATGCGTGCTCGGCCAACGTGTTAAAAGAGGCAAATATTCACAAAAATAATTTGCCCAAGTATAGCGTGTACGTAAATTAGCTTCATTAATTATCCATATATTTTATGTCGAAATAAAGCTCACGCGAGGGAAAAATTTGTAATAGACATATATGTATATAAAGCGTTTTGAAAAAGAAAGCTCCGGTAATAAGCAGGTTACGATGGAAGAATGTTATCCAAGTCAAGTCATTTTCAGCACTCAACGTCTGTAATTAAAAGTCGGACATTAAACGCGAGCTTATGAAATAATGGCCAGTAACGAAATGTTCTTTATAAATCTGTTGTTCTAAAATTTACTCGATTTCGATGCTTTCACTGCAAAAACCATTCTCTCTCCCGTCGATGCGTCACCATCGAAATAGCATTTTATTGCACGCATTCGCCCACCGAAAAAGTTTTCGCGAAATGAGTCCCGTCGAGTTACTCGCGCGAATCTCGATTAGAATTTCATCGAGGCCGCGGTTATGGTTACCCCGGACACAATGCGCGACGCGCTGTCCAGCTTCGCCGCGACGGTGCCTCGAAATAGAAATTTCTCTCTCGGGTCGACTGGATTGCAAGCATCGGACCTCAGGTGGGTGCACGCTACATCGATTATCGAGGCGATACACGTTACCTCGTTCCACTACGGCCGCTTAAGGTCGCCCTCCTATCCACCGGACGGCGGAGGAAATCGCCCCTATCCCTTAAACTCCTCAGAGACGATCGCCCGCATCCACACGGACGCATTCCCGTACGCGGCACGTTCCCGTAACCTTTGTCGCCAGCCCCTTGTCTTTCGGCCCCGCTTTGCTCCGCTCCTCTCGGCCGAATGCGGAGACTATCGACGATACCGCAATCCCGTTAGCCCACCGCCTCCGAGAACACCAATTGTCTATTGGAATTTGATAATAGTTCGTCGCCTATATGTAAAATTCATGAGACTATCGCGTGTTTGCAACGACCGGGTATCGCCGTGCGGTTTGCAGGCGCGAAGTTAGGCCTGTATCTACACACTCGTTCACACATACACACGTATTCCAGGGCGAGCGCGTGACATTTTCGCGAAAAGCCGGGTGGAAATCAGGTCGGCCAATGTAACCCGGGCATTACCGTGTCGCCTTTGACACTTTTTTCGGCGGCGAGTCGGGTACACGTTGCGTCACGAGGCGCGTCGGTTTTCGGTATTCTACGCGAATGCGCGCTGATACGGCACCAGTGTATATGTGTCATGTTGAATTTCAATGCGCGTGCGAACTTCCGCGGGTGGCGTTCGTGCTGAAAGGGACTGGCCATGAAGCCGGAGAACATATAGGTTCGATAAGGGGAGGCCGATATTTTTAAGCGCGTTATATCGGAATATCACGTCTCAGGTAACGAGGCCGGTTCCCGCCCCGACGTAACACCCGCGGCAATATTGCTACGCGGTATAGCGGTCTCGTTGTCTATTTTGAATTTGGAAAATCGCATAAATCACACGATAAACACCGGAAGGAAGACCGGCACAGTAGTCGGGTAATAAGTTCGCGCTTCCGGAACTTCGCGCTACGGTTAACTTTTTAATTCATGGCGGAAAGTATTCGCTTTGCTCTCGCTCGACCCCTTCGTCAGCGTCCTGAAAATGCGAAGAAAAAGCCTCTCGACTGCAGTTCCACCGGCTGGAAACTACTTCGCGGCAACCCCTGCTCGTACTATCACAAAAGAAAGATCGGCGATCGCGTGGCGAATACAATTTATGTACAATAAAAAGTACTCGCGCGAAGGAGGAAGACTGCCGGCGAGAGCAGCAGTCGATGGGAAAGACTGAGAGAGAGAGAGAGAGAGAGAGAGAGAGAGAAGACACGAACGGAGAGGGAGAAAAAGGCGATCGGAAAATACGGCGAAATTGCGCTCCGGTAGACACACCAGACCGGTAAGTTAGAAATAGCGAGAATACCAATGTGCAAAGCAGCTAAGGCTTGGCTTACGGTCGTATCGCTTCTCCCAACTTGCGGGAGGACCGTGGAGAAAGCATTCGGGACACGTAGAGAGTCAGGCAATACTTTGCCGTCGACGAAACGAGGAATTTGGCCAGTTTGCAAGACACTTCATGCCGATGCGGTTTCTTGTTCCGTCTCGCGCTCGAGACGGTCCCATCTTTTGAATGATCACTTGTGGATCGCTTGGCGCCAAGAGGCAAGTCCGGCTATTAAACTGATAGCGTGAACTTGCGCTTTATTGTTGGGACAAGTTTCCGGCTAATTCACTGTACGCGAAACTGCGGCGTTGCATTAGCCGGCGCTGTAGACCGCCGTGGAACGACGCGGCAAAATATCGCGCGATGTATTCGCGAATCAGATCAGGCCTGATTGCTACATTCCGATATTATTCTTACGAGAACACTGAAATCTTTTTGCGATCCTGTATCGAACTTCTATCGTTGTATATAATAGATACATGTTTGCGCGCGGTGTATTTACGATCACTTAAATTTTGTTGGAAACGGATGAATTATACAGCGAACGGAAGAAGACAGAAAATGCGACACTCTGGTAGAAATTATAATTATTTTTGGCTTCGAATATAAATTAATATAAATTAAGACCAAAAAGGGTATATTTGAAGCCGAAAATAGAACAATAATTTTTATCAACGTATTTGTAAGAAGTTAAACTCGCGTCCTCTCTGCGACAATCGGTTCGAGTGCTTCACGGAGCGAAGTGCGCGCGTACAGATTACATGCTCCGTCGGATTTGTCATACGAAGGCATCAACCGGTGTTGAATTTGGTTACATGACGTCAAGCTGATTACCGCATAATGCAATCAACACTCTCATTGAAGCATCATAATTCCCGATATAGGAACCGCCGAAATCGAGCCAATATTACCGGCATCCGACGCCATGAGCCAGCTGATAACGCTTCATAATGCCGGCAATTATCGCCAGGCTTGGCGTCATCGATCACATACAGCCTTGCGCGATGAAAGCCAGACGTGCTGCCTGTAAACTGTCTCATATGAAAATCATAGCGATACAAATGAGTCGACTTGGCTGTACACATATAGGCGCCGGAGTCATAAATCACGCGGGCGGCAAAGCATATCAAGATAACGGACATATATTGGTAGTACCGTAAAGTCTTCTTTGTCTTCTTGAGAAATTACAATCTTGAAGCTCGAGTCCCTCGAAGAGAAGGGGTCGATTCTGAAGCTTAATGAGATCAGCGTGACGATTGAAATTTCAATCGATGTACGAAATATTCGAGTGCGACAAATTTCTCCGAATGAATGCTCGCAAGATCTTTAAATGCCGCGTCCTGTAATTTATGCTGAATTAATTTGCACGATGGAAAGTTTAGGCATTTTTTCACGATGACACCATTGCAAAATTTAGTCATACAATGGGAAGAAAAAGTCGATTAATTTTTAGATAAATATAAGTAACAATATATATTTAATATCTTTCCATATATCTAATCAGAAAACTTGCTTTTTGCTTCAGACCTAATAAAACTTGCGGTGAAGTAGACAATGGACACGTTCTCAGGATTCGGTGGTTGCTGTACCGGAGGATCCGGTTAGGGCCAAGCAGGATCGGCCCGAAGGTAGGTTTATAGACTTCCTGTACTCGTTCATTTAACTTTTTGCGATCTAAAACTATCGATATAATTATCAAAGTAAAACTTGTTAAAGTTTACAACGATCGTAAAAGGTCAACATCGCTCGTATCCACGAGTAATTCTTTTTTCCTTTTTCTCTAAAACATTTTAACTTTTTCATATCTAATCGGAGATGTTATATTTTTTGCTTTAGAACTGTAGCAGAACGTGGCCGATTCTGAGCCTGGTTCGGTGAGTCAAAACTAAATTTCAGGTGATGAATCTATTAGTGGTTAATATTTGCAATAAATCAATGCGATTTCTCAGATTGTAGATTTTTGCATATACATTGAGAGGAAAAAAATGGATAATTTTCATTATAAATTAGAATTATTTTTATTGTCAACAATATTGTTATAATAAATAACTCACTACAAAATTGAGTTTTCTGATTACAATTATATGATTATATTCACAAGTATCAAACATTTCTCTCAATGTAAGATTTTGCATGTATGTGTGCCGTCCATTAATATATACTGCTTGAAACAATGAAGGGATTGTTTGCATAAATAACTATTTTATTTATTTCACAAATATTGAATTCTTAAATATTTTTTTCCAATATTTTTTAAACATTTTTTTCCAAGATACCGATTTCTTTCAAATATCTTCTCTATCGACTTTCAGAAAAATTATTTATATGTATATATATTTTGGCACATTTACGATTGCCTCTAATTCAAGATATAAAATTATTTGATGAAATATGACTCCCCAATTATTTCAAACAGTTGTAAATTGTAAAAAACGCTACAGAATCGCCCATCAGAATCACGTTCCAGAATTGTGCGCCGGAATATTGCGCACTAGAATCACGCGCCAGAATCGCGTGCCAGAACCGCGTGTCAGAATCGCGCACCAGAATCGCGCTACCATACGCGGAATTCGTGATCACTTTGCCCGAAATAAATTCTACGATTGCCGCCAATTTCCTCTATTTCTTACACATAACGAATCGTAATATTTCTATGTAAAAAAATTAATATTAGAATAAAAAAACTAGAATTATTGCAAAAGAAAAAATGTTTTTTGACGAAATATAGACATCAATGAAACAGGATGTTTCTTTCTTAATCTTTGCAAAAATACCGCGATTTTCGGATTAAATTATTTGCGACTTGCGAGTATATGTTTGAAGCGCTGTAATTTATCGCGTACTTTTCGTTCGGTCGTTAAACGCCGTAAAGTATTATCGCGGTGGTCAGGAGTGCGGGATGACCAGCAATCGACGTGAAACTGCGGTTGGATACTGAAGAGCCTGAACTCCGATGCAAAGCGACGTGGTCGAGATGCAACGGTGGATCTAAACGAGGCTGGACATCGCTGGATATCGCTGGACATCGCTGGATATCATTGCGAAATGGTGAACGTACAACTCATATTCGCAGAGCATTTTATTACATTGTGCATGCAGATGTTAGACGTAAATCGCATTGATTGTCGATAAGAAAAGTCACTGCGCAAAGATTATGTATTTTAACAGCGTGAGATTATTTCAACAAGATTTAAGAGTTATCGGACGCGCGATAGCGCGCGTTTGCAATGTCTAATGCGAATATAAATGACGAGCTTTTGCGGCCGCGCTTTCCAAACTAAATAATTAATAATTTTTTGTACAATATTCGCATATATCAATATTTAATACCATATTTTTTTTTTTCAAAACTCTAGATATACAAGATTTCTTTCTAATTAAATATGCAAGCAATTACGTAATATTTCCATTGATATGTAATCTGGGTTGCAGCGAATTTATGAGAAATGAATTCCACGGGACAACTACCTTAATCGCCGTAACATACGACCGTTCGAATCAGTCATTAACTTTTTTCAATACGCGGGTTCACGATGCATGGCGTGCGGTGCCGCGAAGCGAAATATAACTGGTCTATATATTACGAATCCGCGATGTTCCGCGCACGCGAATAGCTCCGAAAACCGCCCCTCCTGTACACGAACGTAAATCATCAGAATGGTCGCGCACTTACTTCCGCGCTCTCCTCCGTAAGTCAAATCGTCGGTTACAGCCGACGCTGTCGTTGTCGTCGATCGCGCGAAACAAATATTTTTCCTCGGGCTCCTCGAAGAGGGAATTCTTTCTCCGACTATATGCGCCTGGCGTTTGGCATAGTCTCGCGTGCTCTCAAGCGCGGGCTCGACGATCCCTTTTTACCAAACGTTTGCAAATACCGACGGATTTGCGGAATCGTCGGTCAAATTGAATTGCAAAGAACCAGCCTTGGCTATGGCAGTCCTCCCGAACGCTGGTGCGGCTACGCGTTACGCGCGTTTACGCGTTCTCGCACACGCATGCGATCGCAACTCGACTCGTCACTGATCCTGTTCGACAACAAAATCGCTTCTCGAAAGATGTGCTAGGCCCACCGCTTCCTTGCGGCTTTCTCCATTCCCCCGTCGTTCTCCATTACAGAACCGACACCATTTGGAATTCAATCAGTCTGTGTGTCTTCCCTATGAATAATATTGGCGGTATCGAGGTCGCGCAGATTGCACGATCGCGGCTCAAATAATCGAACGAGGGCACCGCGGTATCGAAAACTGTTAATACCGCCGCTAGGCCGGGCTATATCACCGATATAAAATTGATTTATAGAGCCGATCGTATCCGACATGGGACCGATTTAATTCTTTAACATGCCGTCTCTCCGCGTATTTCTATAATATACGTATGTATATACGTACCGTGGTAAGAAAATTGAATCGTAAATTTATATATTCGCGCTCACTATCGAAATTCGTCGTCTTTGCTGAGGGTATAAATTGGGGGTATAAAAACGATATAACGAAATAATTTCCACCATAGCGAATTTAGGAACTATAGAATACGCGAGCGAAATAAGCGTGAAAAATGTCCGTATGAACGGAGTCATTGAGAGTGATGGAGTCCGAAAGATTTTTCTGATCTGAACTTTTTATATAACATCTACAAACAAGAAAAGTGTAATTCAAATTTGCACACACACATACACACACACACACATTACATCGGAAAATAATGAACGCATACGCGCTTGGGATATTTCCGTAATAATTGTTACATTTCATTTATTCGTTATATATAATATTAATTAATAAAAATTAGCAAAAGGGGGAATCGATGCGTTTATTTCGTGAATAAATGAAAATATTCGGGTGTATTAACGTACCATTTTGGAAATATTACGATCGTAGCGCAGCTGTGCTTCGTGACCAGCTAAACCGTCGAAATACATGAAAATTCCACTTGAATTTACATTCTCGGTAAAGACGATAAATTTCAACGGTGAGTGAGAATTGAGACACGTTCCGCTTCATTTCTCCAATACGGACAACGATAACAATCATTAATCAGCCTTGATGGAAGATCAATTATCAAGCGTCAATGATCATTAAGAATTTTAAATCAATAGAGTCATACCGCAGCTAACGTCGCGTATAATTGTTGTATGCATTCAATAATTAATACGCGTAATTGTAGAATTGCAATGGAACGTTGAGGAGAAATTCGCGCATATAATGGTATAATAGTGCGTTACAATATTGCATTATTATACCTGAAAACCTATTATTCATTTCGCGACATTGAATGAAAGCAAATATCTCTTACATTACGTTCGGCTTTTTACATCACGAATTGTTGAATTGTAACCCCATTTCACCTGTCATTTAACGCACCACCGGCCGACTCATTACAGCGTAACAAACCGAAACTATTCTCGCTTTTATTCCCACCTGCCTTTTTCGCAGCCGCGTTTCGCTGAATCACATGAATCGATCGCTCGCTCGCTAATAATTAACCACTAATTGATTAATAATGTATTATTAACCGATTGACCGAAAATAATAATGTTAACGACTGCGCGCACCATCTATGTCACGCTCTTTCGCGTGCTTGCGCGCCCACACGCACGCACGTACGCACGCACGCACGCACGCATACACACACATAATGCCCGGACATGTTGCGGGATGCACGCACCGAAAGGATCGTCGAGACTGTTCGCGGTACAATAGATTATACGTTACAGCCGCTACACGTTACGTTACACCCCGTGGAGGCCCTCGTGTAGCTTATATATCCGCCGCGCGTTCCCGACGGATCGTCAATCTTCTTCGAACGGACGATAACTACCGCGTCTAATATCCATCGTTCGGAAGCGCGGAGTCGCTCTTATCCATTGAAACGGTAGCTATCGTCGAGCATCACTCTTGTAACTGGGCCGACTGCTGGAGTACAGAAGGGCGTATTCCAAGTGTCGGACCTCGCGATATCTGGCCGGTGCACACACATGCGGGGACGCATGACAATTATGCGAGATTAATGGCACAGCCCTCTCCTCCTGAGCTCTATCTCGCTCGATATCTACCGACGTACCCCGTTGAATTCCGCACACCTTTGTCCTTTGAACGATCGGTTTTGCGAAATCGCGGATAGGTGAGCGTCCGCACCGCAACGGTTTCCGATTCTCTCAATCGACCAACATTACGCAAGGTAAAAGTACCCATACTCGGACGTGTATCTGAACCTGGACCTTTTCATTATTTTGGTTTTTGAATACGAATATTTAAACTTTCAACGTAGAATATATGTATGCAGGGTGTCCGGAAAGTTTCGACCGAGCAGCCGTGTGCAGGAAACGGGTTAAACTGAGCAGAAACGTCCTCTAACATCTTGCAAACAGCTACGCAAAATTTCGAATTATTAATGAACGAAAATGTATAGAGGCTTCTTTAATTAATGATTCAAAAATTTGGCTCTATACATGGCCATTTTCAATAATTAGTAATTCGAAATTTTGTACGTAAATTTAGTAAAGTAATAGAGGACTTTTCTACTAAGTTTAATCCGTTCTACCTGCACATAACTGTTCGATTAAAACTTTCCGGATACCATGTATGTTAAATATATGTACTATATATATGTAGTATATATATTCATGGTCAACAGTTTATATATTTGTAATTAAAAACCAAAACAATAAAAATATTCAGGTATAGATGCATGACTGGATATTAGTACTTTCACCTTAAGCCTAAATTTCACTAAATTTTACATTACATTGAAAGCGTTTTTGAAGCTTTCCTCAGCTCAACCAAACAGGACAATTTGAAGCAAATTATACTTAGTCATTTAAGTACGACGGTGGAGTTGGAATATCGCCATGTATCATTTGCTTGAATTATATATT